CTGTTTTCGTCACCACCAAAACAGAGCAACGCAGTCTTCAAATCCTGTTTCACGTCCAATTCGCAAGGTTCGGTTTTGTAGAAACATCTCTTAGCCAAATTCTTTGTTGGTGCTGATAATTAACACTGTATTTGGTTAAGTGTTTTAGCACATTGAATCCATGTTTTTTAGAACAAATAAACGCTGGTTTTATCTTTTTAAAATCGTAGCTAACACAAAAATGGAAATTGATGCACCTAAAGAATGTTGGGGATTTTTTTATTAGTCATTATATTAAGATAGATTTTATTTAGTGTGTATTAAGTTAGATAATAGATTCTTCAATTTTTAACATAATTAAATCATTATTTATTTAATAATTTTTATTATAAAAAATATCTTTTATTCTATACATATAATTTATATGTATATTATAAGTATTGTTATTATCTCATAACTATTAATAAATGTTTAAAAAAATATTTTGAGATATTCTTTTAATAAATAATTTTTCTAAATTACCTAATTCAATAATTTAATCATAACCAAATTAATTAAATTTAATTGTATTGAAAAATTATATCAAAATAAAATAATTTAAACCATGAGGATGTTTCAAAGATAATTGCTTAGGTTTGTAAATAGAAAATATATTATTTTAAATAATAGTTTGTTAATTTAAAAACATTATGCAGATTCAATTTGATAATTGATATTTTTTTAACATGATTTAACTTATTGTGAGTTTGAAAAGTGTTAAAATGATTGGAATTGGAAACTCAAAATTTAAGGTAAGAAAAATTAGTAAATATTTAATTTTTATAGTATTTTAAATTAAAAGATCTAAATCATAATCTAAGAAGATGTGAAATGGAAGATAAGAGATTTCATAATTGAGATTTTGAATAAGACAGTGTTTTTATTTTCCATTTTTATTATTATGATGATAACTCAATCATGTTTTTTGATTTACATAAATTTGATTGTTGATATTAAAATATGATAAAATGAGTTGAATTAGATTAATAATACGTGTGGAGTATTAGGGTAGGATAATTATATTCGGACTAGATATATCATGTATTTAGAAAAAAATGATATAAGAAAGTTTCAAATTATTGTATTTGGTGTTTGGAAACTAGTTTGATATGTGTTTGGTAGGTTTGTTATCTACGTATTTTATTAAAGTGACAATTTGTCATGTAAACAAAATGTGTAATAGAGGTAAAAATTATTCATAGGTATATTTTTAGTTAATGAATTATTCCTCAAGTGAAAATTTTTCGCTCAAATGAAATTTTCCAACTTGTTTTTTGGTTGAACTTCTAAAAATTATAAAAAATTAATTTTGAACTCCATGTTAAATGTTCTATATATACACACACATTAAAGTCTTATAAATAAGAAAAAAGTTATGATCTAAATGGTAGGTACGGTTTTATATATATATATATATATATATATATATATATATATATATATATATATTCCAAAGTATATTTATAAGTCTCACATTACTTAAGAGTTAAGATCAATGATAGTTTATATATATCCTCATCTCTTAACCCACCCGAGATATTTTTTAAGAATAAAACTGTGACGAACTGGAGCTCAAAAGCGGATAATACCTTGATATGAGAATTGACCCTAATGATGCTATCATAGCGAATATAAGGTCTATAATGATGGTATCATAGCAAATACGAGGTCTGAATACTCTCATTCCTAGACAGAACATTGGTGTCCCCTGTGTAACCATGAGTAGAATCTCATTCCACTCAAACCCCTTAGTCCTCGACTGGGGGCTTATGTTCTTGATTCTGACGAGTCCTACATCGATTAGAAGTCGAGACCAAGGATAATTTATATATACCCTCGTTTCTCAACCCACTTAAGTATCTTTTAAACACAAAATTGTATCAAACTAAAGTGGATATGAAATTGGAACAATCTCATTTTTAGATGAAATATTGATATCAACCATTTAAGAACAAGATCATAACAGATTAAAACTAAAAAATGGACAATATCTTATATAAGAGAATTAATCCTAATGATATTATTATAATTAACATGAGATCGGAATAGTCTCCGTAACAAAATAATATATATTATTGTAACGTGATACATGTATCTATAATCGGTATATCAAAGTACATCATCTTTAAATTAATTTAATATTTAGTGTTTGAATTTATCGTAGAGTTTGTGTATAAGGATTATATATAAAGAGAACGTGATATATCAACCTTAAAATGATTTTATGCATTATTAATATATTTGAAAATATGTATTATTTAATAACAAAATTAAATTTAAAATATATTTATTTTGAATCAATAACTCGAGTTACTTTAAAATGTAATTTTACACAAAAATAAATATAATAATAATGTATAGAAAAATTATTTTTAATAATCACAAATAAAAAAATAAAATAAAGAATTTTGCCTGAATTTGACACATAACATCCTATCTTTGGTAGAATGATTGATTTCTCTGTATCATTTTATTTGTCAAGCAATTTGTGTTTATTATAGTTTATTTAGATTTAAACATTTTTGTAGATACAGTGTTGTTAATATATATATTTTATTTAGAAGCACAATGATAATAGTGTCGTAAAAGAAGAAGATGTTCGTTATTTGCAAGCTCATTTTTTAGGTGTATCTATTTAATAAAATTCATTGAATTGAATCCGTAAGCAAAGACCATTCCCAGAAGGAAACGGTTGAACAGGAGTTAGAATATATTTTAGAGAATTTATTGACATAAGTTGAAAACAGCTTAATTCACAAATTATTAATTTTGTAACTTTTTCCCAAAGAGGTATGTTGTACTGCAAAATAATTATTTAAGAGACTGAGAAATAAACCTTCGCATCCTAAATTAAATATATATTGTTCTTTTAAAAAGAATATCTCCATTTTTATTATAATAATATCGTTAAAAGTTAATTTAGTTATTTTAAAATTTTTTTTTTTTTTAACTTTTTGATTAATTAAAAAAAATATAAATTATTATTAACTTAATCGAAAAAAATTCATGTAACATATATTAAAAAAAATGAAAAAATATATAATTATATCTTATCTAATAATTTTTATTATTTTAAAAGATAGTCAGTGAATTTTCTTTTAATAATTATATTATTTTTAATTATTTATACGAGGACCTAAGGCCTAAAATGTTTAATTTCTTTACGTAAAGAAAACAGCTTCTTATCAGGCTCTGAACAATTGGGCTTAAATTCTATACATGGGCTTCAGGACATTGCTATTTTTAAGTAAATTATGTCTTACACTCTGTTGCTTGCTATCATTACCCACGATGATAAAATATTTAATCTATATATCAAAAACTAGTTGAAATATATAAATAAAACATGTTATCTTTGCATTTCCATTTTTCATATTTTTAGTTTCATTTATAATCTTTTTAAAAATGGTACAGTTTGTGGTGGGTGTGATTTGAGTTGCGAATTGAAAGATAAGTTAGCAGAGAAGCAAGAAGTGTGGTCCTTCGTTGTTTAAAGATTCCCTTCATCACCATCCAATCATTTTCATTTTGGTGTTCAACCATATTTTATGTTTTGATAACAAAATTTGATGTGTTAAACACTATATAAGTTAACTTTGGTAAAAGTTTTTTTTTCTCCCCTTTTTCTTTTTAAATTGTCTAATAATATGGAATTGGTAAACATGGTATTCCAAGTGAGAAACGTACTTGTTTGATTTACTTAATCTTTTTTTTTAATGTAAATGAAGTTTCCCCAAAACGATCCATATTCAAAATTTCTATAAAAATATTCGTATTAGAAAGTGACAAACTAATTTTTCCGATTACAAATACAACTTTTCTAAAAAAGAACATATTAATTATTAAATTATTTAATTTGACAATAAATTAAAAGTTTTAGTAAAACTAACACCCCACTTTTTTATTTATAAATAAATCATATAAATATTTTTAATAATACTTGTTATTAATTAAATAATATTTATCATTCATAAGAAATATAACGCCTTAGCTAGATTGTACAAATTTGTCGACTATCCCCATAATCTAACATGAGACTTTTTCAGTATGTTTTATTCTCACTCACACATTTTTTTAGAACTTTCCAAAAGATCACCCATCCCACAATTTCTCTAATTCAAGCATGTTTAACTATGAAGTTCTTATGTAATAGACCACCAAAAATCAAAAAGTAAAGACATTTTGTTAATATAGGTAGTACCAATTAATTCTCTTAAGTTATCATTCAACTGTATAGTCCTATACCTGTACAACCTCTCGGATCTCTTTACTTCGAAGTATGTTTCAGCTTCATTCATAACACCGTGAATCACTCCCGCCTTCATCGACGCCCGAGATGTCATAAAAAACATAATGTTAGAATTCATTATTTCCGTAAGTCAAAATTTATTAAAATAAAAAAATTATTTAAATTTTAATTAGGAAAATAATTATGAAATTAATTATACTGATTGTGAAACATTTGATATTGTAAAAAAAAAAATTACAAATAATATCAATTTATTATCAAACGATAGTGTTTAAAGATGAATCTAATATTAAATTATATATTTTAAAATTAATTCAATTAAGTTAAAACAAATATTATTAAAATATACAATAAGATATAATTATTATATTTTTAAATATTTAAATATTAAATTAAAATTTTGGTTCTATAATAAACTAAATCATCACTTGTTTACTCCTCTAATGAAATATATTAAGAAGAAGAAAAAGAAAACGGTAAGAAAGAAAGCGCACGTGAGAAAAGAAAGCGCGCGTGGGAAAAGTAAGCGCGTAGTCGAGGAAACTTGCAAATGTCGCCACGATGACCCCATCATCGGTCACCAGTTGAATTTCAACCCACCGAGAGAGAGAGAGAGAGAGAAAAGCCGCCGTTTCTTCCATTCTCCGCCAAACATCCAACCACCGCTACCCACCACCTCCAACAACCACAATCCAATTCAATTCAATTAGGGTTCCCACTTATTCCCCTCTCCATGGAACCCCAGTCTCTCCCTCCCATGGACGACGCCGAAGACCCTTCCTCCATTTGGGACTTCTCCTACCTCCTTGACTTCAACGTCGACGAGGACCACACCAACAACTCTCTCCCTCTTCCTCCTCCATTAAACGATGCTACCGAGATCCCTAACGACCGGGTTCGAAAGCGTGACCCCCGACTCGCCTGTTCCAACTTTCTCGCGGGTCGGGTCCCATGCGCCTGCCCCGAACTCGACGCCAAGCTCGAGGACGAGGGTTTGCCTGGCAAGAAACGCGCCCGCACCGCGCGAGCATCCGCATCCGCTCGATGCCAGGTCCCTGGCTGTGAGGTCGATATCTCCGAACTCAAAGGCTACCACCGCCGACACAGAGTCTGCCTCCGCTGCGCCAATGCCGCCACCGTTGTTCTCCACGGCGAGCCCAAGAGATACTGCCAGCAGTGCGGAAAGTGCGATTCCCTTTCTTCACTCTCTTTGCCGTCGATTGAGTCAATTGCCTCGCTCCTTTGTTAGCTTTAATGCTCGAGATGCGCTTCGATTGAATGTTAGTACGCGATTGTGTAATCTGAGTTGTCGTTTTGACGGTCAACGCTTCGCAGGTTTCACGTTTTGATGGATTTCGACGAAGGGAAGCGAAGTTGCAGAAGGAAGTTAGAGCGGCATAACACGCGAAGGCGGAGAAAGCCTCCGGTGGACTCCGGGGGTACTGCTCACGGCGAACAGGAAGCTGTTACTGAGAATGAGGAAAACAATTATGATGCGGAAGCAGGAAAAGGTTTATATTCATATTTGTTTTATCATTTTTTTTTTCTTCATATGGCTTGTGATTTTTGATTATATTTCACTGGGAGTGAGAAATATAGAAGACCATGTTTGGATAAACCTGTTTGTTAGTGCTTACAGGAGAAGAAAATATAAGAATAAAATAAAATAAGTTTCTCTGAAAGCAAAAACTAGTTATAAGCAAGTTAAGAATCATATAGGCTGTGTTTCAAGAATGCTATGTGTTAAGAATGCTCACTGGCTGTGTAATTGTGCATGCATTCTGCAGATTGTTCAAATTTGAGTACTGAGATCAACGAGATAGTACTGTTGCCAGATCATGAACATGAACCTGTTCCCACTCTGAGAGCGGATCCATATGCCCAGAATGTTAATAGTGATAATGTTGTGTCTTTGGTTGTTTCCGGCGAAACGCGAGTGAATAGTGGGAACACTTCTAATTCGCCTTCTTATTGTGATAATAAGAGTGCCTACACGTCTATGGTGGGTTACCCTTTTTGTTTATTGTTTTTGTTCCAGATGTATATTAGTATTGTGGAAATAATATGGTTAACATTTTCTTATTGAAAGTACACTTGTAGTGTCAAACAGGTCGAATTTCGTTTAAGCTTTATGATTGGAATCCTGCGGAATTTCCTAGAAGGCTACGACACCAAGTAAATAAAAACATTGTTATTGCAGTTTAGTATTTGAATAATGGCAAGACCCTCTGCTGTATACGAGTTAGTAACTGTTTAACAGGCAGCCAAATGCATTTGCAGATATTTGAATGGTTGGCAAGTATGCCTGTAGAGTTGGAGGGTTATATTCGTCCTGGGTGCACGATCCTGACAATTTTTATTGCAATGCCTAACATTATGTGGATAAATGTAAGGGTTCACCTTGATGTTCTTTACATTATGTGATTGTGTCATGTTTAAGTGGTCTTATTAATGGTCATCTGCCCCAATATTGAACTAATTAACTGTATGATTCTGTGCTCTGCTCATTATTCTGGGCAGTTTTTGCTAAATTTTGCTGATTGAGATGTTTATTTGTGCTTTAATTTCTATACACTGTCTGATACTTATTCTCTCTTTTATTGTGATGACTCTATAGTTTCATACTTTAACTAAAAAAACAAGAAAATTTGTTTCCCCTCAGGTTTCAAGTTTTCAATGAATTTGATTTTTTTTTAGTGTTTTCTGATTTCATTTTTTTCCTCTGTTGTTGGTGAACCAGTTACGGAAAGACTCGTTGGAATATGTAAACGATCTTGTTGCTCCTGGAAAGATGCTATCTGGAAGAGGGACTGCGCTAGTTCATCTGAATGACATAATCTTCCGTGTTATGAAAGGTTTTTGCTCTTTCGTTTGTTCACTATGTTTGAACGGGTGTTTTTATATATCTTCTTTTTGGTTCATTCCCTTTAGTATTTTATAAACTGATCCTTATGACAATACTTACGGCTTTGTTATCTCCATCTTGGAGATGTGCACTATTGTTCTAATTTCTCCAAAACAAATTAAATAATACCAAGTTTCTTTTTGGATTAATCTCCAAAAAATTCTTAATATTTCATAATCTGTTTCTTTATTTAGTTAGGATTATAATCTAGTATCGATCTATTAATATTTGTGAATTTTATTGCTTTATGTTTTGTATCATACTGGAATACATCGTATCATATCAAGTCAACATCAATTTCCATATATTTAGTATTTGTTATTTATTACTCCCTCCTAAACTCTATCATTTCAACAAGCACATTTCAATGGTTACAGATGGAACTTCTCTGACGAAAGTCGAGGTAAACTTGCAGGCTCCGAGGCTTCACTATGTTCATCCCACATGCTTTGAGGCTGGCAAACCTATGGAGTTTGTTGCTTGTGGAAGTAACTTGCTGCAGCCTAAATTTCGGTATGTAATGGTCACCTTTTCTAATAATTTAAATCAGTTTTTGGTGCATATATTTATATAATACTCGTAAGATAATTGAGCTTGTTGGTCTACATTTGTGATAGGGGGTAAGTGACACGACTTTATTTAAGTTTAGTCTAATTTTAAACCCAACCCAATTAAACTTTACTGGATTGAGTTTCTATATTTTTATTTAACAACCCAACCCGACCCAATTCACTATAATTGAGTTTGTTGAGTTATTGAAAATATTGTCACCTCTTTAACTCTTAACAGGAAAATACCTTAGATAGAATCAATATTATTCAATATTCTTAATATTTATAAGGTATCAACAGTATTTAAAACATAAAATATAAACAATAATTTTTAAAATCGAAAGATTGGAGCATCCTTAGATCTCAATGAACCCAAAATCTGTGTTTTCTGTGGCCAATAAGCAAAAAATTATTAACTTGAAAGGAACTTTAGGTTCGCATGTAATTGTTTGTTGGTAAATTTGTAACTGTTTTTCTCGGATATATGTTTTAGGATTGATTTGTGGTTATATTCATAAATCATAACGTAACCATTTCCTGCAATAATCTCACCCTGGTTAGGGAGACTTTTTAAGCTGTTGGAAGCATAGTAGTTAAAATCAAGATCCGGAAATCATAAGAAGATTTTAAGATGTTACAAAATTCATGAAATTCATATATATGCTATTATACATCATATACAGAAGCACATAAAGTAGCATAAATACGAAAATAGGTCCTTAAGTTCAATCTTCAAACACTTAATTGAACTTATTCAAAATCATCAGAAAGTAAAGCACGGAATCCAACTGTAAGTACAAAACAGTCCGGTGCAGCAATATGACAAGTAGGATATTACAAAAACTCCTTGTAAAGAAAATCAATTAAGATAATCGGAGAGATGAGAGACATGTACTGAGAAGAGAACCCACAAATCTAGTAATTGCAGTGAACATTGATGCCACAAGAAAGAGAATCCACGAGAGTCTTGCGTTTACAGCAAATAGATTAAGAGAGATGGACATTGCAGAAAACAACAAACAGAAGCCACAAGCTTTGCAGTTGCATTAGAGAGTGAGAGAGATGAGTGCAAGATAGAACAAGAGGGAGTGGGTGCTAGAGAGAGAGATGAAGTGTGAACCATAAAGATGAATTCAAGGATTAAATTATGAAGAATAGGGGCACATGAATTTAATCATCGAAAGAAGAAATATAGTTTTTTTTTTTTTGGTTTGAAAGGGTTTTATGAAACAGGGCCATAAAACCAAAGCCCTAAGCTAAAAAAAAGAACCCAAAAAAAGGGACAGTTCCATGTGTGTTTTGATCTTCCTAGATGATCCTTTGCGTCTCCGCAATGTTTTGATCCATACCAAATTTAATCATAAAAGAGGGCATTACTTCTTTAAAAAAATGGAGCTAGAGTTGTTCAGCTCATTCATAACTTACATATTTTGCTTTTATGTAATTTTTCTTAAATTATATTTGAACTTAATTAATTTGCTTTTTTGATAATGTACAAACAGAAACGTATGTGGTTTGTGGAATAATGAATAAAGGAATAACAAAGACTTCTGAAATCTCCATAATCAATTTAAATAAATGAGTTATTGATGATGTATGAAACCCAAATACTTAGTATGACACGGGTATATGACAATTTTTTTAAATATAGGCATGATACATTACCAGGAATTGATAAAATGTTTTATATAGACCAGACTATTTGTAACGAAAGAGACATTTATTATTTTCTTATTAATTCATAACTACTGTGATCACAATTTACAAAAAAACATAACTTCTAGTTTGGTTGATCAAGAGACACTCTGTCAATTCAAGAAGTCTAGAACCATCATCAAGTGGATCATTTTAATTTCCACTGATGTCCCACAACCTTGTCTCTACTTTTCTATACCTTTCATTAAAGTCAAAGGATTGAATGCAGATAAACCAAATCTTGTCTTTTTTGGACCCATTTTGTTTCTCTTCAAATATTGAGTATATACTCCGATTACTCTTACACCATGAGGAAGAAGTTGGTTGCACAAGAAGCTTTAAGACAAACATTTTGGATACTTATTTGAAAGTATCCAAGTTGTATCCTAGAATTATTTATTTATTTATTTTAAATATGAAGAATGCATACTTTTTAGATACTTTTATGGAAGTATCCAAGGATTATCAGTGTCTAACATAGGTATGACAATGATACTTTTCCATTTAAGAGTATCTGGGCTTCATAGTTCACCAGCCATCAATGTAAATATGAATTTGTCTCATTTAAATAACCACACCCAATGTCAAGCACGAACTTGTTTATTTAATTAAACAAATGAGTTTGGTTGAGAATTTAACAAATCAAATTTGAATAATTCACAAATAACTCAACCATTTACAACTCTCTATATGTATTACTTTGGAATCTAAGTTCTGTATATGGTTATAGCCCCAGAGGACAGTAAATGTGCAGTATGTGGCGCTTACTTTGTTTTGACCTTTTTCTATTTTTCTCCAATCTCAATTCTGTTAGCAAATCTAACTTGATATCAAATTGACCATGCTTTATACTTTATTTTATTTCAGTTGATTTATTCTCATTTTCAAATGATTATCTTTGTGCAGCTAATTTAGATTCTGGTTCACTTGTGAATATGTTTCTGACTGTATTGAGGTGCTCACCATGACAGGCTTCTTGTATCATTTTCTGGAAAGTATCTGAAATATGAGTATTGTGTACCATCTCCACATAAATGGACTGAAGACAATATTTCTTGTGCTTTTGACGATCAGTTATACAAGATATATGTCCCTCATACAGAGGAAAGTCTCTTTGGGCCTGCATTTATTGAGGTAATAATTTGAGGACTTGAGCACTGTTATATTGATTCTTTTTATTAGACTGGTTCTTGTCTAAAGTACATGTAATGCAATGTAAGAAGGCTCTGTGACTAATGGTTGTAGTGATTAGGAGAATTATTTACTTAGAGCATTGGAAATTGGACTAATGGTTTATTTATCAATTAGACATGTAACTTGATCATCCGATGTACCAATCATGGATAATAACATCAAATTAAGATAAATTGTCTTAAATTTAACATAATATTGATTGTTTATCCATTTTGATTAATTTTCATTTATAAATGCTTCACATCAAACCTCTTAGAACTTCTCATTAAATTGTTGCATTTTTACCGGTTATATTTCTTAACCCTTGTGTTTTCTCATGTTTCTTTGTGCCTTTTGTAGGTGGAGAACGAGTCTGGTTTATCAAACTTTATTCCTGTACTCATTGGGGATAAAGAAATTTGTTCTGAAATGAAGACACTGCAGCAAAAATTAGATTTATCGCTCCTTTCTAAACAATTCCGGTCTGCATCTGATGGTTCTATCTGCAGCTCGTGTGAAACATTTGCACTTAGTCACACATCATCAGACTTACTTGTAGATATTGCATGGTTGATTAAGGACAACACTTCAGAATTTTTTGACAGAGTGATGACAGCTTCACAAATCCAAAGATATTGTCATTTGTTGGATTTTCTGATGTGCAATGATTCAACAATCATTTTGGAAAAAATATTACCAAATTTGATAACCTTGACAGAAGGCATGAAATCCAACTTTGTGATTAATAGGATGAGTGATATTCATACATCGCAAATCCTGAATCAAATACATAATGCTAAAAATGCCATATATCAGAAACATCCGAAAAATGGAAGTATAATTGTGCTCTCTGAAATGAAAGACTTTAAACTTGCTCAGGGCTGCTCCCAAGATAACAAGCTCCCAGTTGCAGTTAACAGTCAGGTTAGGGCTAATAAGTTCTCAGCTTTTTTTCCATTATGATGAAATATGAACACATTTTTAAGTTTTAGATTAAGATACTTCAATTTTACTTATGATCATTTTCTTGCTATATATGATGAAAATAAATTGACGCATCCAGTATTAATACAAGCTGTCTAACTCTTGTACTGTTAAGTAGTGGCAACTACAATCAATTGGTTAGAGATCTTTGAATAAAATTTAATAGCACGGGACTTAGAAATTGAAATTTTGGTGTGTGGAGTTCATTGATAACAAATGAAGTTATTGTTTTGGAGAGTTTGCAATGATTGCTAGTCGGAAGGAAGTTGTTAACGAGTTAAAAGTGAGAGGATGGGTAAGATTGAATGAAGAGAAAGGGAAAGAATATACCTAAAAAGAAAAGTTGAAAAAGGAAAAGAAATAAAATTAGCAGTGCCCACTGAAATAATAGAAGCAATCAATGGTTACCACTCCTATTGTCCCATGGTTAACAAATGAGGCAGAATCAGTTTAGAAAGTGTCTTTTTCGTGAGTATGTTTAATTTATTACATTACACCTTATTATCTATTTATCCTGAATTTCTTATCTTTTAGCTGAAGCTTTAAATTCATTTCTTCTATGTTTCCGTATGTTTAGCTCAAGGTTAATATCTGGTATTACACACGACTGAATTACTGTCAAGGTGACATGGCATTTTACAAGGCCCTTAGTGCCTACCATGTTCCAAATTGAAAGGGTGTTTTTCATGAAAAATGTTAAAATAGTATGATACGAACTTAGAAACTCAAAGGGGAATGAATCTTTTGACCTTTTTACTTATTAAATTATGTTGGCCCTATAGCAAATGACTTTAACGTAGAGCAGAGTGCAATTCCCGTTCCTCAAACCTTAATTGGATTTACTGCTTCTCAACTTCTAAATTATATACTAAAAAATATTTTGTCCTATGAGCGATAACATAAAAGAGAACTATTCCTTTATTCCGTGCTACAACAAAGGCCTTGCAATCAAATTGTTCTGAAAATTTCAAGTCCAAAGCTAATTTTGATTTCAGTCGCAGCTTGTGTTGCCAATATTCGGCCGATAATTTTGTTGCATTTATATATTAATGTGTTAATAGATTTTGGTTTGTTGCCGGACTTAATTTTATCCCTAAGATGATGTGGCATTTTTTCCCCACATGGTATTCTGGTATTATAACTTGTGATAGTTTGTAAGATCTATTGACACTGCGACAGCACCTAACATGCATTGGCTACATGGATTTTTGGTTTTTCAGGGTATCCTGTCAAGAGCAGATGCGAAGTGGGGAATACTGAAAAGTCTAACTTCTAATGACAAAAATGAAAGAATACCTCTTCTGAAGAGAGATATTATAATGAATGTGGAAGAGTTGCCTGAAAGATATGGTCGTGGATGTTTGGGCAGGGGGTTCTTGATCTCTCGACCAGCGATTTTTGTAATTGTTTCGATTGCTGTTTGTCTTGGGGTTTGTGTAGCTGTCCTTCATCCTGGAAGGGTTACTGAGTTAGCAGTATCCGTTAGAAGGTGTTTGTTTAACTATTAGTGGATGCTTCAATTTTTTTATTGTTTTTTTTGTGCTGGTAGTTGGCACATATTTGTTGTAACACTAAATAAACATCAGAATGAGGATGATTAGGTTAGTTTATTGCGTTGGAATCTTAATCCAAGGTTTCTAATTTCTGCATTGCCAATTTAATCGGATACGCAGACGGATTTGCCGTTGCTTTGACTGCAACGAGTCTAATCATAGCTAAAATTTGTAATTCATATCATTATTAAAATTGGTGATTGTGTTAGAGAAGCAAGGTAAATTCCATTCGAATTTGTAAGTCATATCATTATTAAAATTGAGTCTAATAAAATTTGTATTTTTCTGTTTAAATTAAATTCATTTAATATTTATTAACATTCATTGGGGAAAGGGGGGATCGACAAATAATTTTCTATAAAGTTGATTATAAAGCAATTATCTTCTATAAATGTTTTAAGGGTAATGCGAGGTAATTGTTCTATCATTCTATTGCATAAGACAACTTCTGAATTCGTGAACCATTCTCTTTTTAATAAAAGAGAATTTCTCATAATTTTCAGTTTAATAAAGCTGAATGAATATTTCACACTATCTAATATAGAAACATTATACGTATATTATTATTTTTACTTTTATATATATGGTGTCAAATTGAGCTTATAATGAATTTAATTCTGAGTAGCTTCTAGTTTCATTATATCTCAGCAATGATTGCATAACTAAGTTGGATCATTTAGCGTTATGTTTTTGCATATTATAATTAACAAAAGTGCACATGATTTAAGTTCAAGAGAAAAAAAAGTATTTTCATTTGAATTGTCAAGATCGTACAACTATGATAAAGACTTTAATTAAATATCCTAGAATAAAATAATCAATGAATTACATATAATAGTTAATACGCGATATAATCATCTGAGTTATATCTAAAATCTATATGAATAGTATAATGTCTATTAGATAAAAAAATGAAAGCTGATTGAATTTGTAAGTGAAGTGACCAATTAAAATATAGAAGGGGAAGATGCATGTTACTTTCATCTGTCTCCATTAACATCCTATTTTTCTTATTTTGCACCAATTAATTTGTTATTAATATTAATATTCCAATGATTGCATAGTTAGTGGCTGCAATAGCAAATCAGACATGGCATAAATTGTTGAAGGACAATGAGGAGCATTAACTGTTGACCACTCCTTGCCAAATAAACAAGAAGATATAGACCAAGATCTGGAATAAACTTTCCATCTAAAGCTTTTGAGACACGTGATGTAAATATTACTTTATGAACTACATTTTCTAATGGAAATTGATTATATACAAAATCAGTAAATATTTGTAATAGTTTATGTTGATTTTTCTGCATTTAAAAACAAAGTAAAAATGAGAGGAGTATGAAATATGAGAAACCCTGGTATTTGTTTTATTAATTTGTGTCAAAAGACATTATAGTCATCTACAGCTATCTACTACTATTAATTTAATTTGGTACAACGTCTCACAAATGCATGCGTAATCTAAATAAAATTTAAAAACCAATTAATAATAAACTGATCCACATGATACATAATGCATATATACATCATTATGTATTTCCTCCCTTTCTTTTTGTATAATTTAAGTTAAAAAAAACTAAAATATCATAATTCTTTCATCTAAAATTACATTATATAATCAATATGAATTAGAATAATTTAATTATGATAGGATTGAATGATAATATAATAAGTTTTATTTCGTTATTTATGCACAATTATATACAACATTTAGGGAGAATAAATTTTTAGTGATAGATTAGTGTATAGGTTTATTACCTTATATTATATTTATACATCCTTTATATCTTTTCCAAAATAAGAAATACACAACTATTTTTCGCATGATATTAGAGCTCGATCTGAACCATCCCTAACCTAGCGCAACCAATCATGGAAGAGAATAAGGTAGGAAGTTCGGCCACTAGTTTGGTCAAATGACCTACTCTTCCTATCATTGGTCAGAAATTGAATGACCAAAATTACCCTTAATTGGTGTATTCAGTTAAAATATCCTTCAAAAAAAAGGAAAGGAAGGTTACATCACCGAAGACTCTAAGTGTCCAGTAGAGGGTGACCCTAACCTCAACAAATGACAACTAGAAAACAGTTTAGTCATGTCATGGTTACTCAACACCATGACCAATGAAATTGGGGAGAATTTCATGTACTATGACACTGCCAAGGAAATGTGAAATGCAGTAAAGGAAACCTACTCAAATGTGGACAATACATCTGCGGTATTTGAGATCAAGAGCATACTCCATAAACTACGACAAGGTGATTTCTCAATCACTGAGTATTTTAATACACTCAGCCGATGTTGACAACAACTAGATATATACGAAGACGTTCAATGAGACTGTGTCGAGGATAAGAAGAAATATAAAGAATTGGTGGAGAAAGATAAAGATAGGATCTACAAGTTCCTATTGGGGCTGAACACAAAACTTGATGAAGTCCGAGAGAGAATCCTTGGAACCAAATCTCTTAAAACAATCTAGGAAGTATTTTTGGAAGTGAGCAGGGAGGAGAGCAGTAGAAAAGTAATGCTTGAAAAGTCAAGTGCAGTCCCACCCATTGAAGACACAACAATGGTAGTAAGGGGGAACCAATATCGTCCATCTAAAAAGAAAAATCGGTCTTGGTGCAATCATTGTAAGAAATTAGGACACACTAAGGACACCTGCTGGATTATTCATGACAAACATTCAAAGGAAAAAACAGATAAAAAACCTAGACAAAAGAGGTAAATTCTAATCTATCTCCATTCAATAAGGAGTAAATGGAAGCATTACAGAAAATTCTCCTGCAAATAATTAGTACAACTGCAGTAGCACAAGAAGGTAATTTCTTGCATGCTTTAAATACTAGCACAGAAAAATCAAAGTCATGGATTATTGATTCAGGAGCCTCAGATCACATGACTGCAGACTTATTTTAGATTAGTCACTTTATCAACTAGACATCAAGAATGTCTTCCTAAACGATGAACTAGAAGAAAAAGTCTATATGCAAATTTATCTGAGACTTGAATCATCAAAAACCTCAAACATGGTGTGTAGGTTCTAAAAATCTTTATATGACCTTAAGCAATCTTCGAGAGCATGGTTTGATAGATTAACTCGAGTTGTCAAAGAAGATGGATTCAACCCATGTCAATCAGATCATACGATGTTTGTCAAACACTCCACAGAGGGGAAGGTAGCCCTGTTCATTATTTATGTTGATGATATCGTTATCACAGAAGATAATTATGATCAAATCAAGCATTTGAATAGACTTTTAACCAAGGAATTTGAAGTCAAGGACTTGGGCCAACTCAAATACTTTCTAGGGATGAAAGTTGCTCGGACGAAGGATGACATTTATGTATCACAAAGGAAATATACACTGGACTTACTTCAAGAAACTGACATGCTTGGGTGCAAGGTAACCAATACTCCCGTAGAACCGGAAAAGAGAGGTGAAAAGGAAAGTCCACCAAATGATAAAGATAGATATCAAAGACTAGTTGAGAATCTAATATACTTAACTCACACCAGACCCGACATTGGGTTTGGTGTCAACCTGGCTAGTCACTATAAATCTAATCCAATTGAGGTCAACATGACTATGACAAACAAAATACTCCAATACCTCAAAGGTACACCAAATCGAAGACTCTACTTCAAGAAGAACACAAACATAGGTATTAAAGTTTATATTGACTCAAATTGGGCCCCTTTGACAGGAAATTAACTATAGACTATTGTTCCTTTGTGTGGGGAACTTGGTGACTTGGAGAAGTAAGAAGCAACCTGTGGTGGTAACTTAAGGAGTAGTGTAGAAACTGAATTCAAAGCTGCTATAAGCATAGCAAAGAACCTAGTCCACCATAATAGGACAAAATATGTTGAAATTGACCGACACTTCATTAAAGAAAAAATTGATCATGATATTATAAGTGTTGATCATGTTCCATCATGTATACAAACACCATATATCCTGACAAAGATTTTTCCGAGGAACACATATGAAAATATTAGATCCAATCTGGGTATGATAGATCTACAACCCAGATTGAGAGAGAATGTTGGAGATCAGCGCTATCAATTAAAATAATTTAATTATGATAAGATTTAATGATAATATAATCAATTTTATTTCGTTATTTATGCATAATTATATACAATATTTATAAAGAAAATATTTCCTTAATTTTCAAAGATAAATTAGTGTATAAGTTTATTATCTTATATTTTATTTATAATTTTTTTGTATCTTTTTTAAAATAAAAAATACATAATGTATCCTTCTTAATATTAGATCGTGATTTTACCTTTTTTTTTCTCTATCTAAAATATAAGGGAATTTTCATCATCAATAATAAATATTTTTGTTTTACTAACTATAATAAGACTTTTAAATTTGAAGAAAATATCATGAAATTAAACTACTTATAGAAAAAGTGTTGCAATGGTAGTGTTATTTTTGTCCTCTAACACTGCGCAACCAAATCTTCTCGGGATACCATTATCAAGCTGGCGATGAGACTAGACTCAAACAAATCATTGGGGGCAATAATCACAAGGTTTCAACACTGCCTTTTTTTTTTTTTTTAATATATATATATATATATATATATATTTACCTTTTTTTTATTTCTACATATATAATCAATTTATAAAGTCAAATTTTATAAAAATTTATAGTTGACGCTTGTCACATCTTGAAGGTTGAAAAGATTTCTTATCTGAAGTTCACCAGCATCACTATCAGAGGGAGTTACCCACTACTAATTAGAAAATTAGAAAGATAAAAAATCTAACTTGAAAAACTTTAGTGGGAGTGACCCACTGCTAATTGCTGCATAATTAAAAATGGTTGATGATTGAAAGAACATAGCGTGACGCATTTGCAATCATTGAAAAACCGAAACGATGGAAACATGTTATGGATTCTAAGACTACGCCTAATATGACAAGCGTATTATA